GTCACAATTAGACATGCATTTTTTTAAGCATCACTATAGGTGCAGTGAGGAGGATGGCAGAGGACCAGCCTGGGTGTGGATAATGCAGGACTGGTGGTGATGAAGACTAACGTGCTTGGGACTGGGGTAGTGACACCAGAGATGGCAAGGGGACAAATTTATGACTCCTAAGAAAGTGGAAGCATTCCAAGCATCTCCTCTGACCACAACAGCATGGAAGGAGAAATCAACCACAGGAAAGGAAATTAGAAAAAATGATCACATGGAGACTAACCAACCTGCTACTACAAAACCAATGAGGAAATTAAAAAGGAAATTAAAAAAATACCCTGAGACAAACAACAATGAAGACACACCACACAAAATCTACGGATGCAATAAAAGGAGTTCTTAGAGGGAAGTTCATAGTGATATAGGTCTTCACAAGAGAACTCTCCAACAACCTAACCTGCCACTGAAAAGGGCTAGAAAAAGAAAAACAAGCAAAACCTAAAGTCAACAGAAGGAAAGAAATAATAGAGATCAGGGAGGAAATAAATAAAACAGAGATTAAAAAACAGTAGAAAAAAAATCAATTAAACCAAGAGCTGGTTCTTTGAGAGGGTAAACACAACTGACAGACCTGTGATCCGACTCACCAAGAAGAAAAGAGAGACCCAAATAAGCAAAATGAAAATGAAGAAATCTCAACTAATAGTGCAGAAATAGAAAAAACCATAAGAACATACTGTGAACAAATTTGACAACCTAGAAGAAGTGAAAAAACTTTCTAGAAACATACAGTCCATCAAAATTAAATCAAGAAGAAATAAATCATTTGAACAGGTCAATCACTAGAAGTAAAATGGTATTTGTAATTTTTTTTTTAACACCATATAAAAAAAAGTCCAGGAACAGATGGCTTCACAGGTGAATTCTACCAGGGATACAAAGAAGAACTTACACTGATTCTTCTCAAACTTCTAAAAGACTGAAGAGGAGGGAACACTCCCAAAAACATTCTATGAAGTCACTATCACCCTGATTAAGATACCACCAAAAAAGAAAATTATGGTCAATATTTTTGATGAATATAGTTGCAAAAATTCTCAACAAAATATCAGCAAACCAAGTTCCACAAGATATAAAAATATCATACACCATGCCTGTAAGGTGAGTGCAGAGACAAAGAGAACGAGCTGGGCGGTCAGGCAAGAAAAGAAAATTTCTTAGAGGGAAAACAAGAGGGTGACTGGCCCTTGAGAAGAACCAGTGTCCTCCCTTTCTGACGGGGTCTTTCTTATACCCCACCAGTGAAAAATTCTCTGAAGGGATGGTTAATTTTTAGCCTGTAGTTGAGTCCTGCAGTCACGTAGCTGGAGGTCTAGAATCTGGTGGTCACATAGCCTTGAGAAGGTAGGCATCAGCGGGAAAATAGAATGTCGTTTCGGCAGTTTGGTCAGTTGCAAGGGTCGCTGTGACTTTATTCAACATAATGAGCCATTTCAACTATGAGCCCCCATGTAGGCCCTATCAATGACCAAGTGGGATTCATCCCAAGTTCACAAGCATGGTTCAACACATGCAAATTAATCAATGTAACATACCACATTAGCAAAAGAAAAGTAAAAAAACCCCACATGATCATCTCAATAGATGCAGAAAAAACCTGACAAATTTCAACATCCATTCATGACAAAAATTCCTACCAAAGTGGGTATAGAAGGGACATATCTCAACATAGTAACAGCCATTTAGGACACACTCACAACCAATATAATACTCTGGTGCAAAGCTGAAAGCCTTCTGGCTAAAATCTGGACCAAGACAAGGATGCCCATTCTCACCAGTTCTATTCAACACAGCATTGGAAGTCACAGCCACAGCAATCAGACCAAAAAAAGAAAAGAAATAAAAGGTATCCAAATTGGAAGGGAAAGAGGTAACATTGTCAGTATATTCAGATGACATGATACTAAGTAGAGAAAACCCTAAGGACTCCACACAAAACCTGCAAGATCTAATAAATGAATTCAGCAAAGCAGCAGGATACAAGATTACCATTCAGAATCCACTGCGTTTCTTTATACTAACAATGAAATATCAGAAAGGGAATGTAAAAAAAAAAAACCCTTTAAAAATCATACCAGGGCTTCCCTGATGTCCAGTGGTTAAAAAGTTGCCTGCGGGTGCAGTAGACTTGGGTTTGATCCCTCGTCTGGGAAGAGTTCCCATGCTGCAGGGCGATGAAGACTGTGCACCACCACTAGAGTCTGCATGCTGCAACTGCTGAAACCCACGTGCCTGGAGCCTGAGCTCCGCAACAAGAGAAGCGACTGCAATGAGAATCCTGCACATAGAACTAGACAGTAGCCCCACCAGCCAAAGCCAGAGAAAGCCTGCATGCAGCAACGAAGACCCAGCACAGCCCCAAATAAATAATTTTCAAATAATCATACCAAAAAATAAAATAAAATATCCAAGAATAAATCCAACCAAGGAGGTGAATGACTTGTACACAGAGAACTCTAAAACACTAGTGAAGGAAGTTAAAGAGGATTCAAAGAGATGGAAAGATATCCCACGCTCTTGGCTTGGAAGAATAGTGTTAAAATGGCAATACTACCCAAATCAATCCATAGATTTAATGCAATCCCTACCAAATTACCCAAGAAATTTTTCACAGAACTAGAATAAATAATCCCCAAATTTATATGGAACCATAAAAGACCCAGAATTGCCAAAGCAATCCTTAAAAAAAAAAAAAAAAGCAGGAGGCATAACTCTCCCAGACTTCAGACAATACTACAAAGTTAGAGTAATCAAAACAGTGCGCTAACTCAAAAAGACACATGTACCCCAGTGTTCATTCCAGCACTATTTACAATAGCCAGGACATGGAAATAACCTAGATGTCCCTCAACAGATGAATGAATGAATAAAGACGATGTGGTTCACACACACAATAGAATGTTATTCAGCTATAAAAAGGAAAGAAATTGAGTCAGTTGGAGTGATAGAGATAAATCTAGAGCCTGTCACACAGAGTGAAGTCAGCAGGAAAAAAACAAATATCATATACTAATGCATATTTGTGGAATCTAGAAAATGGTACTGAGGAATCCATGTTCAGGGCAGTAACAGGTGCAGACAAGAGAACAGACCTGTGGACATGAGCGGAGGGGGAGGAGAGGGTGGGAAGACGTGAGGGAGTAGCAGTGACAGGTGCGCTGCCGTGTGTAGAAGAGGTAGCCAGCGGGAAGCTGCTGCGCGGTGCAGGGGCCACAGGCCGGGGCCGTGTGATGACCGAGACGGCGGGGTGGGGGTGGGGGTGGGGGTGGGAGGCTCGAGAGGGAGGGCATGTATGTATACATATGGCTCATTCACATTTTACAGCAGGAACTAACACATTAATGTAATTACATTCCAATTTTAAAAAATTTTTAAAATAAAAACCACCATATGATATTGATACAAAAACAGACAATATGCATAAAAGAAACAACACAGAGCCCAGAAATAAATCCACACACCAAGCTTAATTAATCTTGACAATGGAGGCAAGAACATAAAATTGGAGGGGGAAAAAAAACCCAGTCTCTTCAGGTGGTACTGGGAATGTTGAACAGCTGCATGTACATCAATGAAGTTATAACACACCCTCATACCATGCACAAAAATAAACTCAAAATGCCTTAAAGACTTAAACATAAGACATGACACCATAAAACTTCTGGATGAGAGCATAGATAAAACTTTCTCTGACATAAATCATAACAATGTTTACTTAGGCCAGTCTCCCAAAGCAATAGATATAAAAACAAAAATAAACAAATAAGACTTAATCAAACTTGCAAACTCTTTCACAGCAAAGAAAATCATTAAAAAATGAAAACACAACCTAAGGAATGGAAGAAAATATTTGCAAATTATATACCCGACAAAGGCTTTTTCTCCAAAATATACAAACAACTCATACAACTCAACAACAAAAAGCAAACAACCCAATCGAAAACTGGACAGAAGATCTTAATAGACATTTCTCCAAGAAGACATACAGATGGCCAATAGGCACATGAAAAGATGCCCAACATCACTAATTATTAGAGAATACCAATCAAAACTACAATGAGGTACCACCTCACACTGGTCAGAATGGCCATCATTAAAATGTCTACAAATAACATGTGATGTATGACAGCAAATCACAAAATTCTGTAAGGCAATTACCCTTCAGTTAAAAAAATAAAGTGGCAAAAAAAAGTATACAAATAAACGCTGGGTGTGGAGAAAAGGGAACCCTCCTACATTGTTGGTGGAAATGTAAGTTCAAAAGCAGTTCATCTCTGGTCAAATTGCTCATAGCAATCTCCCATTAATCAGGTTTCATCATAATTACTTTAACAATAACATGAAGCATTGAGTCCATTATTTTTTACAATATAAATTCTTAAATCTCTACCTCTATACATCACAGTTTCAGTTATCTGTCACATGGCTTCCTATAACAGTTCACTGTTAACCAGTGTTGGTAGGATTTGCAATAATTTTAATGGGGTAAAGAAATAAAATCAGTGGCTTTTGCTCACTGAGATTCTGTTTTTATAATCTACCAACGTGAAATGGTAGATGTCAGACACAATGTGATATTAAACAAGAGTAGGAAGCCAAATCCCTGACCCAACACAAGTTGAAAAAATAAAAAGGCCAGCTTCCCTGGTGGTCCAGTAGTTAAGACTTCACCTGCCAATGCAGGAGACACAGGTTCGATCCCTGGTCCGGGAGGATCCCACAGGCTGTGGGGCAACTGACCCCAAGCAACGCAACTACTGAAGACCAAGCGCCCCAGAACACGTGCTCTGCAACAAGAGAAGCCACGGCAAGAATCCTGAACACAACTAGAGAGTAACCGCTACTCGAGGCAGCTAGAGACGGCCCGCACACAGCAGCGAAGACCCAACGCAGCCAAAAATAAACAAACACATGTATGTTTTAACTATTGCTAAAAAACTAAAGCTTACCTGAGGCGGGTGTCCTTAAAGGTGTCGAGGTATGCAGGATAGCTCCATCCGATTTTATTCCCTTTACATCGAAGCTCCAGAGTTTGCCCTGCTGTCAGGCTCAGGGTAGCAGCAGGTTTCTGGAAGCGACCTTTATCCATCATTTGCGTCATTATAGACTGTGTCTTTGGCGTTGGATCAGCAGAGTCCCTGTCCTTTATCTTAGGAATTTTGGGCTTCACCTTTTTGTTGGTAGGCTTGATTCGGTTCTCTCCGGGCTCCTTTGGACGCTTGTTCTTGGCAGGATGTTGGCCAGTAACTGGTACAAACGTGAGGAGAGAACAAATGGGTGTTGGTGGCCAACATACCGAGAGTCTTCAACCCTGCAGACAGATCACTTTTAATACCTCTCTCCTATTATGTTAAAGTTACTTGGGGGGAATAATCATTACTTTCTTGGTTCATCCTTTAGATTTAAATCAAATAGTAAAAATAGACTTCAGCTTCAAAGATTTCGTTCAAATTCAGCAAAATATTTCCTATATGAACGAACACTCATACTTCCCAACAAAACAGCTTTCCCTGTAGTTCACACTCAATCTTGCCACCTCCAAGATGCTCCCCAGAAGGGCAGACCCAAAGCCTCTCAAGGTCTGTTTCTGGTCCTTGCCATCCCAGCACTGTCACTGTTCATTTTGAACCCACTGTTTAAACTCAGGAATATATCATCTCCAGGGAGCAGAGACACAGACTGCACTCCAAGTGGACTCAGAAAATTTCGAACCATCACGAACTTTCTTCCAAATGAATTCACACAGGGGCATCTGTGTGTTAGGATGGTATCCAGGTAGGATACAAGGCTTAGTAAGAAATACATACTAACCCTATGCTCTTTTAAAGCATACATATACATTATTAAAACTCAAAGGGAACTGCAGCCATGGTTTAGAACTTAGCCAACAAAACATATTAGGGGGAAGAGTATTTTATCACCCACATTGTTGAGAATTGCTGGCAAACGGTGGTAAATAAGAACTGACCACCTTTGAGTCATTTTCTTTTTTAACTTATTTGTATTGGTGTATAGGTGCTTAACAATGTTGTGATAGTTTCTGGTGGACAGCAAAGGGACTCAGCCACAGATATCCGTATCCACACACCTCCCCCAAACTCCTCTCCCATCCAGGCTGCCACATAACATTAGGCAAAGTTCCCTATGCTATACAGTAAGTCCTTGTTGGTTATCCACTTTAAATATAACAGTGTGTCTTGAGTCCATCTTCTTACGGCTGCTTCCCCCTACTCTACAAACAATCCTGCCTGCCCTTAGAATGATCCTGGGTTTCAGAAATCTCACCTGTCCACCCAGCCCACCTGGCCATGGGCTGTGTCCACCCAGCAAGGACGATGGGACTAGGCAATTCGTTTGCCCCACTGTCTGCATCAGCTAAAAGATAACCTCGCTGTAAGTCCACAGAATTATAAAATGTCCAAACTTATAGGATCCTGAGAGATCATTTAAGGTTCTTATGTTACAGATTTTTTAAAAATAATAAAGGAGGCCTTAAAAGTTACACACATCACACAAAGCTGGTTAGTGGCAGAACATGAGCATAAAACTCAGGTCTCCTGACTCCCATTTCACTACCTATAGATAAAGTCTGTAGATATTTTGAACAGACAACTACAGAAATCTCGGGCAACTGAGGGGATTACAGGGCATTTTTATAAAATGGGGAAATGTGATAAATCAGGAGAAAAAATTTTTGCCTTCTTTGATGTACGTATTTATTTATCTACTACTACCTTGGTGTACAAAGGGCTTGGGTGGTCAAGAGTACAGAGAATCAAACTGGGATCAAGAGGTGGAAAAAGGTGAGGGTTGCAAGCTCTTACACCAGAGGGCCAGGTGTAAAAAAACAGGTGAGGGGTGGGACCTGCTGAGACCACGTCCTCCTGAAGGGGTAGCTGCCAGGGAGCAAGTCAGGGTCACAGGCCATGGTTTCTCAAAGGATGGCAGAAATGCAGGTGGCCTGACTTATAAACATCAGAAACTAGGTTCTTTAGACACTTCATGTCTCTTTCTCTGAGGTGGGCAGTCAGCTGGTGGTCTTCCTTGGATGGATGGCGGTGACCAGGAGGGGCCAGGAGAGGGACTGCTGGGACCACTCTGTTTGGATCCAGGCTGCTCACATGGGTGTGTGCAGTCAGCGAGGGTTGCATGGAGCCATGCACTTATGAAAGGGTTCAAAGTGCTAGTCGCTCAGTTGGATCTAACTCTGCAACCCCATGGACTGTAGCCCTCCAGGCTCCTCTGCCCATGGAATTCTCCAGGCAAGAATACTGGAGTGGGTTGCCATGCCCTCCTCCAGGGGAAATTCCTGACCCAGGGATCAAACCTAGGTCTCCTGCATTGCAGGCAGATTCTTTACCATCTGAGACTCCGGGGATGATTTGCACCAAAAACTCAGCTGACGTGGACTCAACTGTGCGATGATGAACATGGCTTCATGGGTGTGCTGCCCTTTGTAACAGGAACCCTTTGACCTCCACTCCTGGTTCAGCTCAGCCCAGACTCTGGAGCCAACCCCACTGAGAGTCTGGGATCAACATCAGCTCCTCGGCTCGCTGCCTTCCTTGGGGCTCAGCTGCCTCACTCCTGAATTCCACTATCTCGTCCATGACTCCAGGTTCACTTGCGACCTCTCGTTACCCCGGATCCAAGTTTCTTCTTATTCCCCATCCTTCCTCTACTCTCGTTCCCCTGGACCATGGACCCTGCTGCTCTTTCTCCATCTTTCCAGGGAGCAGAGCTGTGCCCTTAAGCCTTCGTCTCCAAGGCACACCCCAATACCAGCTGTTGAACCTGCTGTTTGTTAAGACTTCTCCAGACCCTACGCATTTGTGTACCCTGGGATTCTCATGACAGATGGGGGTGGGCAGGGATGCCCATGTACACATCTCCACAACCTCCCAGAAGGAAAAGTGTAATCGTTGGAAACATATTAGACCCACAGAAATACACTAATGAAGCAACATCAGTTGTGAAGCATAAGCCTCAGTGTTGCAATAGGTGAAAGTCACTGTCTTTTGCTTAAGGCAGAAAATAAAAGCTTATCATTATGCCGCCCAAGCCATCTGTGCCTGGCAGGTGTTGCCACACTATGCCTCTGAGAGTCAGGGACCTCTGTATTGATGTCTGATTTGGGGTGTTTTCTTTATCAGTACCAGGAAGGCAAGGTATTAGAAATAACAACTGTGTGTAAATTCTAGAGAATTTAGGCAGCCCATGCAATCTGCCTGATTCTAAGCCTCTCAGATCCTGTGTGGTGATGCTATTCAGGAACATTTGATCAGTGTATTATTAGTACACCTTCAAATATGTGCTATCATCCCTGAAAAATCATTTGACCTCTTGACCAAAGAGCCCCATCCACCTGTCCAGCTATCTATGGAATCAGTCCATGGTTGGACAGCAACGATTCTAAGGTCAAGGAGACTAGTGGCCCACGGAGAAGCCCTAGGACTGTGACTACCAGATTCCATGTCGAGCTTCTTTAAAGACTGTGACTCTTCAGGATGACTACGTAAATATTTTCTAAAGGCCGAAAAAAATAAGAATTTACACTGTAGACATGAGACAGGCTGGGACCTGGGACCCTCGGCGGCGGCGCTGTAACGTTTGCCTCTACACACCTCCCCTCAAGCAACCCAACACGGAGACTGTGTGCCTGGGCAGCCGGGACAGGCTCTGGACGAAAGACACAGAGAGCAAAAGAGCCGCCTTTGAGGAGTCTGGAGCCAAAGCAGGTAGTGCGCATGCCCCCTGCACACACCGCCACCTAACGGGGGGCAAAACACCTAAGCTTCCCCTCCAGCCCCACCCCTGGGTGCACCCCTGCCTCACGCCGTACAAGGAGCACGCTCACCCATCCAGCTCCACAGGGGGCGAGGGGGCCTGCAGCTGTTCTCGCCGCCGTCTGCTGCAGCAGGCCCACTGAAGCCTTGCCTGAATTTCTTGTCTGGTCTCTAGTCCATTTCTATCAACTGGGGAAGACCAAGAGCCCTGGCTGGTAACAGACTTCGTGGCACTCCACACGGGGCACTTGCGCCCTTCTGGGAGGGGCTCTGGGCACCTCCAGGACCACTGAACACAGCTTCTTGGTCTTCTTCCCTAAGTCCTCACCCCTGCACTCCCGTCCCCTTCATCCTACAAACTTCTAGTTTGTGTCTTTAAGTTTTGTGATTGGCATCTTTGTTTGTGATGTCAATTCCAACTTCTCCTGGAATTCTCTGCCGACATTGTATTTCGAGGCTGAAGTTCTCCACTGTGCCCACAAACAGCCCACACTGCTGGAGACTCCAGCCTTAGGTGACTTGGTGGGATTTTTAAAGAACAAAAAGAAAAGATAGGAGCTTGCAATTTCTCCTCCTCTGCCAATTTCCCCTCCTCTCCTTTGCAACTATTCCTGCCTGAGCTCTCAGGAACTACCTGATTCATCTGTGGTCGCCCAGACAGAGGGGAAAAAAAGGCGCGGGTTGTAGGGGGTGGTGCATTTTCAATTCAAGCAAGAAAACAATGAGATCTCTGGTTCTGTCTTTATATAAAAATTAACTTGCAAATGAGCTGCATTTAATTGGCGTCAAGGAAACTGAGCACTTAAATACCTTCTCAGAACATAGAGGAGGCTCACCAGAAGAATTTTGGGTTCAGGTGATCTGGAAAATAGTCAATATTTAATTAATATCTGGTATTAAAGCTAGCTTAAGCTTGTGGATTTCATTAATACACTCTCATGACTTTAGAGTGATCAACATTAACTATAATACTTTTATTGTACCTAGGACTACTGGAAGTCAATAAGTACATATTGCTTTTGTTATGAAATCTGTCAACAGGGAAGTCAACCTGATATGATTAAATTTTTAAGTAAATGTAACTGGGATAAGAACTCTTTAGCAAACTCTATAGCAATAATTATATTTTGGAAACATCTCTCCAAATTTTGGTAAGTTGAAACTAACAAGTTAAATGATAGCAATTCATTGAATATCCAGGCCATTTGAACTAAGACAAAATATTAGGAACATTATTGCTGAACAGGTCTAAATTTCCCCCCCTCTGTCTTCTTGTGAGAGAGAAACTCAAGATGTTTGGTGTCACCTTGAAGTGTCCTTCACCAACCTATAGAATGCTAATGTAGAAGACAGTTCATGGCTGCTTAAGGAAAATAGGATGTGTGTTTTCTGAAAAGAAGGTATGAGGAATGGAATATTTTGTTGAAAGAAAAGAGGATGATTTGCTGGCTATTTCTGAAT